TCGTTTTGAGGACAAACTAAATCTTTTATTGCCTATTGTGTCACGGGTGACAGAAGAGTAAGAAAGGTCAGTTTACTTACAACCGGGTTAGAGATATCTCTTCCAAATCAGCCAATAGCTGGCAGTACCGACAAAGTGATGAGTCAATATAAATAAAACTTCAAGTTGGGCTTTTAAACGGTTCAAACTGATGTTATTCATAAGGGAAATCCGAAACGAACCGGGTGACATGTACCAATTACGATTAATGATGTGAACACAAAGAGGACAGAATAAAACATTGGTATTTTCGTAGGACCACAAATCCAATCAGCGAAGGCTTAGCTTTCGTATACCTTTGTGTTCTACTGAAGGGGTTTGATCAGCGATTTCTTCCTTCCTACAATTCTTATGTACAATTATCTATTCAATCCACGAAAAAGACTAAAAGATTAAAGAAATATACTTCCGTTACTTATAAAAGTACTTTGCGGGACGTACTTCTTAGCGAGTTTGCGGAAATGACTTGATCACAACAACACGAATGGATAAATAGGATGGGGAAAAAAGATGAAGAAATGCGTACTGTTTGGGACATGGTCGTAAAATCAACACTCTTTATCCTCATCGTGAATCTGGGAACTGGTGTAGTCTGATATTGATTGCTAATAGAGCGAGGATATTATCAGTGATTCATTGTCCCCTGACCTCTCTTCACATTGTGCGACAGGATTATCAGGACAATCGGGTTACTTCTTTTACTCCATTCAGTAATCCACCATCATTTGGTATTGATTTTCCACAGACTCATGAAATTCTGTCGAAAACACAGTCAACATGCACTACTAGGTATTCCTAATGACCCTTCGTGCCTTCTACTGTACAACCTACCACTGGAACGAGTTCCTTTATCTGGACTCCGATTGGGGCTATTTCCATCATTGAGAAAACCCTAGAGGCTCGTAGTTTCACAAAGTCACTGGTGTACTTTTGATCTGGCCTAATTAACACACATAAATACGATTGGGAACATATCCAATCCAGAACACGGAGGAAAATTCACATTGGACTATTTCTACTTGAATAAATGATCAAAAGAGGATAGTCAGTGACATAGCACAATGTTCGTCCAGGTGACCATACGCCGAAAGGATTTACGAAAATGAGACAGGCATTAGCCATGTGCGCCCAGTATTACAATTCACCATCTGTTCCAGCTCAAAGTTAAGCCTACATACTTGTGTCTTGGGCACAAGTGCCTAACTCACTAAAAATTATCAGAACAGGGAACAATTTCACCAATCGGTTGAATGGGTCAGACGATTAACTATAGCTAGTGAACTGATCGAGACACTTGGTCTGACCGGAGCGGAGTGAATGGGAAAAGAGGCAGTGAGTTATGGCGTCGCATGCCTGTCGGTGTTTCGGTGAAAAACTTCTTCCCTCAACGCATACGGATGAGAAAATTGTACAAGTTAGTAGTGTTGTGGAGCAAGTACAACAGTCGATTGCTGCGCAGGACCTCACTTGTAACGTGAGGGTGAGGTACGAAGGATGACAGCTAGAGGTTAGGCAGAACAGAAACTCTACCTAATTTCTCTCCCGTCTTCCAGGCTGGAATCCGAAAGATCCTGTACCCGGTCAATTAGAGACGAAAACAACGTAGCCGCGAGAAGATAGTTGCGACGGTCGTTTAGTCAAATTTTATCAAACCAGAAAACGCTCACGTATGCACATAATTCGATTGTACTTAGGTGTACGAACCACATCTTTCTAGTTGGGGCAGTGGCCACCGGCTCGAGTGGGCACCTTAGACGTTCCACCCCGCCTCAGGAGTGTATGATCCGGTGAGCTGGAAGCCGGTTCCCAATGGACCGCGGTTTTCACACACCGCTCCGCTGCCCCATGGATTAGGCGTTGGCTAGTCAAATGTTCTGGTTGTGATTTCCCCAAGAAAATTCACCTGGTTTGGCATGGACAACCTGGCAGTATCACGTCCACAAATAACTCGTGGAAATTTCTTTTTTTTTATTGTACTCAGATTCAGTTTGCACAACCATTAACCATACACTATCGTGCGCCAGTTTTGGTTGCTATCTTTCGGCTACCCATTTGGATGAACATTAGGAAAAAGACAGGAAAGGTTGAAAGTAAGATCGAAGAGAAGATTGAAAATTTCAGTTGATTAATGATACAGAGAAATTGAGAAGATGCACGAACGCCACCCAGACATATAACTCAGTGTCTCTAACCATCGGGTACGACATACCTGGATCTTTACTTAGTAGCGCAATGTCGTCTGCATACTCTAGATCAGATAGCCTGCCTCCTGGGAGTAAATAGATGCCACTATCCTCGCACGAGGATAGGGCTGTTTCCATTATCAAATCTATAACAAAGTTGAATAGAAAAAGAGAGAGATGGAAACCCTGTCGAACACCACTTTCCGTGGTGAACTCGGGTGAAAACATACCGTATGCTCGGACTCGGCTTCGGTTATGAGTATAGAGGGATCGTAATATTGAAATAAACTTCTCGGGCACATCCTTCAGGGAAAGTCAGCGCCACAGTTTAGAGCCGCCGACGGAGTCGAAAGCCGCTTTCAGATCCAGGAAAATAGAGATGGTGGGTCTACGACTTGTTTGGCACAGTCTGGATTCAGAGGAGTTACTATTTCATGTCAGGTCTTTCTTTCCTATTTGAATTTGGATTGCCACGGACAAGGACATCAGATAAAAACAACCCGGACAGGCGCATAATCTCTGATGCCACAATTAGCAGAGTTCCCGTAGTCGGTCGGCGAGCGGAGTAGATGAGGCGAAAGAAAACGTTCGTGTACCCGCCACTGTTCATCTGCATGCACTATCGTGATGTGGCCGTAATTCGCTGTACTTGTCTCGAGCTTTCTGTCAAAACTGTGCCCAATCCTTTCGACGGTACGCATTTTGTGTGGTTTCAGACATGTTCCAACACTGGTATTCCAGTTTTTAAACTAGCTATTGTCACCCAGGGTAAAACGACAACCTGTTCATAAATTGTTTAACCTGTACACGAACAGCGCTTGTTTTTCGTGGGTGTCCATTTTAATGGCCGTCCACGGATAACGACGCGGTGATAAGCGGACAAAGATTCGAGGTGAATCGTGTGGCGATATCCCAAAACAGTCATCAGCGAGAGAATTCTTTTGGCACGGCAAAACAAATTTCAGACCTAGTGTAAGTGGTATCACCGTAGTTGATTATCAGGTTCATGTGTACAATGGGGATAGCACGAGATTACTATGTTTGAGCTTCACGAACGAGGTACGAAGAATGTTGCCTGAGGTATCCGATCAATCTGTTTATAAACCCTTCTCAAACAGGATATACCAAAGATGGAATGAAGTACAGATCACCAAATTCCACTGTATGACAACGGCAGACACAGATAAGGAGAGACGAAGGAGTGATCGGACAACCGAATACTGATGAGAAGAATATGGCATGTGGAAAGCAGAATTCTGCTATGGAGGTGCAAAATGATACAATGAGCTCAGATGTGTAATTCGGAAATGGAGTCACTGAATGCTGTCATTCTATTTTGGAGATGCGACCACACGCGTTCAGTTAATTAGTGATCGCATTCAACTTATCACACAATTTCGGAGCGGAGATACAAATCAAAAAACGTAAGTGCCTTCTGACGATTTGCACCCGAAATGCTGCTTATTTGTGTATTTTTTTAATAAGTCAGCCTTGGGCGTGTTTTCACGTGGCTAGGTATCTAATGAAACTGGTCATCGGATCGACTTTGCAAGACGAGCGTCCTATAACTACGACACGAACACGCTGTGAAATTACTTCGAACAAAACTCATCTCCCATAGTACCATTCGTCCCGCCCTGATTTATATCTGAACTGGTCTACGGTGAGTATTGGAGTCGTTTAGAGCAATCGGTTTCCCAGTAACGACGACAAGTTGCAGTGGTTCTACAATCAACGCTTCCATCCTACGGATGGAAGGAACGAACTTATCGGATACCTTTCAGTCTCACACCGCTACGAAATTTTTGCGCGGAAATCGATACACAGGCATTAGAAGAGCGATATAACATGAACTTGGTAATTGGAATGAAAAACACATGAAGACACGCTTCTCGTAAAAGGGTCTCGCCAATCGGTACGTGAACCGGATTAGGTCCGAGAGTGATTGTCACTGGAACTACCAGCTGCTGTATGAAATGGTAACCGAAGCCTAGGGGCTACTAAATACAAGCCTCCGATACTTCCGCCAATCTCCACATCATTCACTGTTCCCAATATATAGATATATAAGTGTGTACTCTGGTTGCATTTGAATGTGCTTAGTCATTTGTTTAAAGACAGAAACAAGTCCACTCAAATCTGGGAAACCTCAAGCCTATCATCAGTCGTACGTTAGCGGAAACTCAACCTGATGTGCGAAAATAGTGTGAGATGAGTGGTACACCCTGGGATTATCAGCGATGGACACAACTACAAACGCCTGTGATGGGATAAGGCGTGGACCATTGCGTCATTCGAGACGAGCGAAAACCAACCACCAATCACTGTCACCGAAGAAAGCGTACGCAGATGATGAAGAAGACGACTGAGCACAGTGAACTCTACAGGTAAAATACAATTTATTTGACCAAAAGTTAACCGCAGCGGGGGAGGGCAAATTCCAACGAACCAGGAAGGGTGGAAAAGTTGCACGTGGATAGTGAATGGATGTGACAGATGCGCGCACACTTGATAGCCACGGTGTAGAGTAAAAACAAGTGATAATAACAATAGAACGAAATTTACATACAGATTCAGGTTGTATTGCTAACATATGTATACGTGTATAAATGTATGTTCATGTAACTGCGATGAAAGTAATGTGGGACAACGAAGAGTAACGAATGAACACCGTTGGGGCTAAGTGAAATTGATTGACCACTTTGCAAAATGTGAATAAGGAGCATATAAAGCTGACCGAACGATTGAAGGGAAAAGAGAAGGTAGATGTTGCTTCCTTTACTCTGTCGTGTACGATTCCTGCATTGCTGAATCATCAAATGATAATTCCACCTCACGTGTTTCAGCAGGCGAGCCGGGGTGATGGCTATCTGAAGCCGGAATTAGACCGCTTGCTTTGGGCACTTCGGTTGTCGGTGGGTTCACTTTTAAAGATTCGACTGGTGCACCTGTTTCAATTTGGGATTCTGTGGAAAACTGTGCAGAAGTGGCCTCTTCCTCAGATAACTGCGTTGGATGAGCCACTGGAGTTGATTGCTCCGTTGCGTTGTTAGTGACTTGTGATGGCACAGCTGGTGCCGGAGAGTCCAATGGGATGGAAGTAGGGCGACCATCCCTTGCTGCTAGGTCACCCCCCGGACGAATAGAACTTTGTGATTCGGTTGTGGTGGAATAGGATGCACCAGACCATGAATCGTTGGAAGCTTCATTGGATAAGTTGGGGACAGGATTTTGAGTGTCCTCTTGAGGATGATGCTGAACAATTTGACTTGGTGTTGGAGAAGTATGTCCACTGACAGGGCCATGTGGATAGGTGCTGGGTTGTGGCGACCTGGGAGCCACGGTTACATGAGGACTGTCAGCAGGTGTCACTCCACTGGACGATGGGAGCCGATGGTCAGCAGCTTGAACGACCGGTTGAGCAGGAAAACCAGAATGTTGGGAACTAGACGCGGGAGCTGAGCCTGCAGTGAACTGGTTAGCTGCAGATGGCTGAGGTGACGGTGTACCAGAATAAGGACTTTGGGAGGGTGCGAAACCGGTAGGAACAGGTTGATTTTGTTGTTGTTGCTGTTGATGCAGAAGAGCTTGTTGTTGCTGCTGCTGGATTTGAAGAGCCTGTTGTTG